CCCTCCACCCCCGCGAATACAACCGGCTTCTCCTCTGTCCCCAAATATCGCGGCACAATTCGTCACAACTTCACGGGCTTCCATCATAGAAAACAAACAAAAAAGTAAACATCACATACCCTACTCGTTCCTCTGATTCTTCAACTCTTCAGTGCGTCCTCAAGTTTGAGCGGTACTTATTTCGTAATTGTGCATCTAAACGTATTCTCAAATTTCGAATTCTACTCTACACTACACAGAATTTCGAAGACGATATCGATGTCACGCGCATGCACCTCATATACATTCTTCACATTGTTGAAATAAGAAACGAGATCAGCGTGACAGAACTCGTTTTTCATAAACCAATCAAAACTAAGTAATCTTTATTCAAACGCACAATCAAAAGGATTATGTCTCGTGATGTAAACAGATAAAATAAAATACTGAAATTATGACAACAGAGCAGTAGTCTCATTCCATCATATCACTTCAAAACCAGCTGAATCCAATCGAAAATCTTCAAAAACTGCAAGATCGACAGTATCAACATAGAAAAACTGATCATCAATAGGACCAAGGTGATATAGTAGCATGCCTTGAATAAGCCCTGGAAAGCAAAGCTCTCAGAACGTTCGATAAGATTTCCATCTAGTGTCTGTGGATCCGAAACTTTCCTTTGACATTAAATGGTTAATTTGTCAGCTCACCGATCCTTCAGTTGTACCCATACGACGTTTTTGCTAGGATGACTTGGTCCTTTTGTTCTGAACAGATTGAATAGTGAATGGTGACTAGATGATTGAGTGAAGAATGGTGAGTTGCGAAAACCAACCGATGTTTTGCCTTGAATGTGTAGAATAAGAAGTACTGGTGACCATTTCCCACTAGCTACAGCTGGCTGTACCACTTTTCCTTTTTACCTGTAATCAATCATGATCACACAACTGAAGCAAGGCCTTTTGTTTCGAATTACACTGATTTTGAGTGCTGAGACGATGTTCATACCTCATGCTTCAGCGGAAATGGCGTCAAAGAAGTGACCTGATTCCCGGAAAATGATTCCACTCAGCCAACTTCTTCTTTGAGCAGGTTCCCTGAAGTTACTGCGATAATTTATGAACAAAGTATGAGAATTCATGAGCAAGTTTCTACCTATTTCATCCGTTCAAATGACATGCCATTAGAAGGGTCTATAGCTTTAATGAGCAATCCCGTTTACGGATGAGAAAGCACCGATTTTGCATTATTCCATGAACATGCAGTGGTCACATAAGTTTCCATTAGTTACATTCACACAACACATACATGTACACATACCATACAATACAGCGTACGCACACAACACATGCACACACACAACCACACAAATACACATGGGCTGTTTTCTTAATCCGCGCTCGCTCGCGGACTATGAAAGCAGCCACACACACAATAGGCTGCTTTCATACTTCAACTTGCGCGCCGGCTCGCAGTTGAAGACGGCCGTACATTTAGGAAGCGGCGTGCGAGTGGCTATGCGACGGCGGCCCTGTCCAAGGGTGTGCAGCAGCCATCCTTGATTTGCGGTATCGATCGGTACCCGCTGCTGTCACACGCTCGGATAGGGCCGCCGTCGCATAGCCGCTCGCACGCCGCTTCCTAAATGTACGGCCGTCTTCAAGTGCGAGCCGGCGCGCGAAGTATGAAAGCAGCCATACAATACAACACGCAACACACACAAACGCAAAACAACACATCACACACATACACACGCTACATGTACATACAGAGGCATGGGGGACTTTGTCGCCTATTATTGGGGGCCCAAATAAGTAGAGTAGATTAGTAGGATCTGACCATACTAATCTTATTTACTTCAAGTTTGTGCCCCAATGGTGAACGCTGCAGTCGTCCACATCGTCACGAATTTCGCCACGCAATTTGTCGAGCGCTGTTCGAATCGCCTGAACATACACACACGCATATGCGTACACACATGCACATAAGTACTTATGCATACAATATATTTACAGTACCCACAAACACACAAACTAGGGAGTTTGCCCGTTGCGAAGAGCCAGCCAGATTTTGAGAAGAGCGAGAAGAGCGGTAAATCTCATTTCACAAGAAAGGTCGGCAAAAACGGTTGCGGTCAGTCCATTACCTCTCCCTTTCCCGATCCCATTTCAATGATACATATTTAATTGATTTTTTTTGTTCCAGCCATGACCGAAAAAGTGAGCATGGGTGTAGTTCCGCCACCTCCATCGCTGCCACCACCACCACTGGCACCATCATCCTCATTTACTTCGGGAGCAAAAACTCCACTGTCTTCTCCTGGTAGTGAGTATGAGCAACTAGGACCATCATCACAGATTGTTTCTGAGCCACCCCCTCCTCCCGACTTGGACTCGTATCCTTCATCGAAGTAAGTCTTTCTCATTATATTTGTCACCAACTTTAGAAATTTTGGACCGATTAAGTGCGCATTCTGAGCTTTGGCTCCAGGGGGACTACTTATCTTGAAAGGCGACGCTCCATTGAATTAGGGATACCAATCTCACTAAAGAAGCTCTAAAGAGGAGAATGCAATGCCTCGTGTCCCTCAGGCGAGAACGACCCACTAGAGTACTCTGTCTCGTGACAGGGACGAGAGGAGACGTTACAGACGCCCATTCAAGAAAATCGATGATCAACGGGACGACAGGTGATACAGATGATTGCACCTTTTAAAATGGCTGCTTAACACCTCTGACCCATTTGCATGTTGAGTATGTCGACGATTACGTTGAAGAGAGGGGACAGTTATAATGGTGACAAAGCCTGATGGTAGCCAGTAGCACCTGAAGATGACCGAATTGCATCCCCACGACCACATAACGACCACCACCGTTCAAGCACTAGCTTCCCGATGAGTGAAAAGCTTTCCTTTCAGTTCGTTATCAATAGGGCCGGATCAACTCGGCTCCCATGATCTTCGAATTCTTGGCTATCGTTGAATGGGGAATCCTTCAAGCGAGGAGGCAATAGCAGCCAAATTGATTACATGTGTACTAAAAACGAGTTCTTTTGGCTATGTTTAAAGGTGATACGTTTCAGGGTAGGAAAGACTGTCCGAGCTGATGGTAAGAAGGCGGCAAAGCAGTATGTACGTATCTCTATCCGAACGATTATAAGTTTAGAATCTTGTTGTAATATTGCTTGACAAAACAAATTTTGTTCTGATGACAAAAGATTTGGATATGATTGTCACTATTCCACAAGTAGGATAGTATGACAAAATATGAATCCAATTGTTACAAAAGGAGAAGGTAAAAAGGGTGTCAAGCTTTTGCTCTCTAGTAGAGCGGGCGCATTCATACTCCGCGTTTGTGAACAGGTGACGGCAACGGCTTCGATCGATATGGCATGGGATCGATGGTCCATGCTGCCTATCTACGACTCGGCGCCTTCAAAACCCTTGAAAATGTGTTTGATCTGATGTGTTTCGTGTGTCGATGTGTATGCGTGCCTGCCTTTTGTCCTACCACCTATCTTCAGCGTTCCACCCAATCTTGCCGCCTGCACACCTAGCAGCAAATTTGAATGCCCCAGGTCCGAATCGCCAGTTATCATGCAAGCTCCGCCCCTTCTGGGCGTAGTTTACTCCTGCCTCCTATTATCAGGGTTACCACAATGTCGCCTGTTCTCCTACCAAGTTTGAACAATCCAGGTCCACGGGAGCAGGGGTTATGAGTTTCCGCTGAGACATTCACGTCGCGCAAACCCCGCTCTCTGTGGAGGGAGTCCGGTCCTGCCAACAACCACAAGTGTTCCCATTCTGCCGCCTGTAGTGCTACCAGTAATAATGCAATCTTGTTATGTAATGACTTTGCGAAAAATACTTGACATCGAGAAGTTGAAAAAGCATTTTCAGAAGATTTGTGTTTACGTTCTTCGTGCTGCTATCGTTTTATGGGTATTTATGGCAATTTGGACGTTCTTATTATATGCACATTCCAAGGAAATGATGAACTTGATACCGACATTGAATTCATTCGCCCCGATTCTCGTCCCATCCGAACTTAATTCACTAACGGGAGAAGAAGAATGAATGATGGCTGAAGGCTTTGAAATTGTACGGAGACTCCTCTTGATTCTTCGCATTTTTAAAGGTTAATTGTAAATCAAAAAAATTCAGTCGCGATGTAATAATTACGGTTAATAAAGAAATAATACAACTGCATCATATCATTTGCACCTCACACTACGGTAACGAGAAGTGAAACCGTCAGAGGTACCAAAGGCCCGATGATACGCCATGCGTTCAACTTCCTCTCAAATGTTTAGGATCACTCAAACCCATACTAGGCTGCTGTGGAAGCTTTATGGATTCCTACAAGGACGCTCGACGGAGGAGGTTTCGCCGACGTCATTTCCCGTTCCGCACGCTTGAAATAGCTCCTATTGTTAGTTCCAGATGACCGATCAGTGATTCCCAGTCATTTTTGGTTGTTGACTGGTGGCGTGAACACTCTAACAAAGCTCACTTTTTCATCGACAAGAAAAAGGCTCATAGGAGGCCAAGTGGGATAGTTCGGAAACCGACTTCATGTCATAGGTTACATAATACAGTGTGGTTTTGAACCTCGGTGACTATCCCTCGAGACCTTTGGTGCAGTAGAAATGTGTATATGCCAGAGTTCAACTTCAATATGACCTTATCCGAAAAAGAAAGACGCTTTCAAGATCAGGAGTCGGCTAAAATTAGCTCTGGTGAAACACCCACNCAGATGACCGATCAGTGATTCCCAGTCACTTTTGGTTGTTGACTGGTAGCGTGAACACTCTAACAAAGCTCACTTTTTCATCGACAAGAAAAAGGCTCATAGGAGGCCAAGTGGGATAGTTCGGAAACCGACTTCATGTCATAGGTTACATAATACTATGTGATTTTGAGCCTCGAAGATTATCCCTCGGGACCTTTGGTGCAGTAGAAATGCGTATATGCCAGAGAGTTCAACTTCAATATGACCTTATCCGAAAAAGAAAGACGCTTTCAAGATCAGGAATCGGCTAAAATTAGCTCTGGTGAAACACCCACAGGCGCCACTTTATGACTTCCCCGGTGTAAAATTGCCTGATCAAGGTCGCACTTCCTATAAAAAGGATGTCTTCAGGGTGAAGTTTGTAGTCGCTGACACTCTTCAAGTCTAATTTCTGGTGAGCTCTGTTATATTGCGTCTTTTATTGGGCACAAACTTTTGAGCCATGAGTAAGAGGGCAATAAATGAGAGAGTTAAGCTATGTCCAGGCTCTGTTTCTGCAACCGATACCAGTGGACGCTGTCTTCTCAGACTTTTGATTTTTCCCGAATTTGAATGGCTTTTAAGTTAACTAACAACAAAATAAGGCTTATATTTTCTTCGCAATAGAGTGCTTGCTTTTCTGTGCAACTTGTAGTGCTGCAGCGGTGTTCTTCATTCCCTTTAAGTCAAAAGAGAGCTCTCTTTCTGTTTAGCAGCATTAAATAAAAACATGTTGCTTAGACTAGTTGCTCGTAACTTCAGTTTTCTCTTCAGATAGTATGAAACTACAAAAACTGCTGATTGCTCTAGTACTGGTAGTCGTGTCCATCGCTCAACAGGTCTTCAATCCATGGGAAGGATTGAGAATTTTCCAACAATTCCCTACACAACCGCCCTACTACATTGATCACTACAAGGTAACCTATTCTAATTTACTACAATGAACTTCTTTGTTTACAAAAATCCAGTTGGGAATAGAGAAATCAAAAATCATCTACAGGTTACTTCTTTACGGTATAAAGTCATGCAGGAACAAAAATTCACTACGAGCCCATAACTTTACCGTAATCTCCTTTCTACTTCATGCTGCAGCTACGCAACTTATCTAGGGCATTTCTTGACGTCTTACGAATGTTGGTGTATGTTGCACTAGCAGGATTACGGTAAAAAACATGGATCGCTACAGAAATGTCTTTTTGTACGGCAATACGGCAGCTAAGGAAAAAGAGTAAGGACATCAAGGACAACCAGTTATTCAGGCCAGAAGAAAGGCTTTATGAAGTTATAAGTCTATGTCGCAGATAAGCGCAACACATTTCTTACGTGAATCCAATCTTACTGCAATCTGAGTTCAGTAAAATGCATCATTGAGGATGTGATTCACATAGATTCACCTCAGTTGAACTTCTGGACGAGTTTCCCGATGCTTTCGTAAAATACTGCTTTTTCAGAGCTATGGTTATGAGACTGACGAGAAGGGTAACGTATGGACTGGAAACGATAACGCTAAGTTCATGATATTTGCTCGATCGTCGTATCCTTGACTCTGAAAGGATTCTCAGGAGGGTCATGAACAGAGAAGATATTATACTGTACCTATAATGTATACTGTAGTTGGATTATAAAGCGTTTAAGCAAACTCGTTACATTCTATCAAGCTTCTCATAAACTGATATGAATAATAGGATTGGGACGTGAGAGTATCAAAGTCCACAGAGAACAGTATCATTAGAAAGCAAATCCGCTCAAGAATTTATTGTTGGTAACTTAAGCAGCTAATCTAATATCAGTTCTAGTTGTTCACTGTTGATTTCTGACACGAGCTTTTTCAAAGGGATTATAAAAAAAGCCATTTTTGGTGATTATGGCTTGTGCCGATGATTGGAGAAAAGCCGCAAGCACCTGGGAGAATCATATGACTAAAAGTAGTGCTGGGGTCGTGTACGTTCTCTGTTAGCTGCCCATAGAAGCATAGCCGGATGCCAGAGGTAGCACCATGTCGTCGCTTTCCGAAGATAAGCAAGGCACTGCTTTTGCACTATCGAGGAAATTCCTTATTTTCAAGCAATTTTCACGCGGCAGGTAGAAAAACCGATGTACACATGACAAAGAAAATGAAAGGACCACATAAAAATTTATTATTGGTTTATACGAAAAAAAANAAAAAAAATTAGGCAGTCACACCGTAAGAAACAAAACAAGATTGCAAAAAGCCGTAAAAGTTGCAGACTCAGAGAATTGTGTTGATCATCAACCCAACACTACGCGGCTTTCGGGATAAAGGCCGTCTTTACGCCATCGAACGAACGATCACTCGAGTCCAGAACTGTAAACGTATGACCCATGCTAAACTCTAACTATGATCCCATCCACGGACTAGGGTAAGTTTGTAGTGGGAGCGGTACTTGCTATTGCTCTAATCAAGTCTCATCAAAAAACGAGAAGTAGTTCAGGTTTTCTGAAAATGTAGAGAATATAGAACTATAAGCAGCTCCGTGAAGAACTCGTGCTCAACTAGAATCAGCTGATTAAATCTTGAACACTGTGCAAGCTTCGCTTTTTTTTCACAATCCTCGCTATCATAAGTCCATGTGCTCTGAAACCACATTTCCCATTTTTCCGGTTAGAACCGTCTAAAGGAATGAAAAATGTGTAAGTCCCGCTCTAAGCTGAGGTTCAGGTTTTCTTTTTCTACCGTCAAGCGGGGATTGTCAGAACAAAAGCTTGAGCCTCCTTACCGCGGAATGCTCGACTTTGGTCGAAAATTTTCAATTTTTTTTATTTATTCAGTCTATGCCCTCTCACATATGCCCGTCAAGTTTTTATGGAATCACGTGCCCTAGAATCACATTCTCCATTATTTCGTACGGTACTAATCCGAAAGAATGGAAGTGGGGTTTCAGAGAACGCAGACTCTTAAAAACTTGTACAAGTTCATCGAGATTTGAGTCACTGCTATGAACTTAGAGTGAAGTCTGATTCACTGCGCATTCAAAGTGAAGTGACTGGCTTCAATGAAGTGATTTTTTGCCTATCAAGACGCAAGGATCCTGGTCCCTACAGTAGCGGAATCATGTAAGCTGAAAACAGGAGGTACATTTGAAGCGTATAGGAAACTAGGACCCTTGTAACACCCTTTCATCTTCTTCCGGGTCAGATTCTGTTCAGGGTTTTTTAGCACTTCAACCGGAACCTTCTATCCCAGCACAGCCTCGACATTGTGCGATAGGCAGATGGCAAAGCGGAGTGTCTGCAGAACCATCAAGAGTAAAATATATGATAAACTGATTTTTCGAGAAGGACTGAGCTTTATTCTCAAAATAAAAAATAGAAGAAAAAATTACAGTAACCACGAAAAGCGGCTCCACAGAATTAATCTTCCCTTTGACTGACATGAAGGCCAGAAGTCATGGAAAAAGTCTAAGCCCTGGAGAAAATTTTATCCGATTTCTTAGCTTTTTTTTCAGAAGATTTTACGAAAGCTTTGCTGAGCTATTTTTTCGATGCCCCTGTTGATAGGCACAAGGGTTCGCTAATCGCCTAAAAGTGCAATGGATCCGATTCCGTTGACAGATGGGGTGATTAGTTATCAGTTCAGAATATTTCGAGGTGAATATAAAGCCCCCAGATAGGCATAGAATATAAGCTGCATTCGCAGTACACTAGTCATCTAGAAATCTTCTTTTCCAGATCCAATTACAGTATCCTTACAGTAATTAAATTAAAATCTTCACTCTAATCATTATAGAATGTCTTTGCTGATCCTTGCTCTCGTCGCCTTCGCCTATGCTGCTCCACCAATTGTACCAGAGGTACCGGAGGAAGAAGAGGCACAGGCTAAACCACTTTACCTAGCGGGATGCAAGGACGGAGTGAACAATGTCATCAAAGTCGCCGATATCAAAGACCGTATGTCATCGTATCTTATGTTCGTCGTCTAACTCGTCCAATCATTCGCCCATAGATATAGATTTACCCCATTCATCATTAACTCTCATTGGGTTTCATAAAAGCAAACTGGGCCTCATAAACTGGCAGAGTTTCTAGATCTAGCGGAGCCTCAAGTGACTTATGGGACTCCCTCCAAGGCCAGACAAGTCCATCGCGGGTAAGAGGTGGCAGAATTGTCTGGCAGAATAGAACAAACTGTAACACATACTCACTACTTACGGTACCAGGGTGCTTCCCAAATCGGAATTGATCGTCAAGATATTCCCTTCATATGAATGGAAGTAAGCAGCTGGAAAACCACCAGAAACCTTAATTGATCGTGGTTGAACAATAAAATGATTGAGATTTTTCAGCAAAACTGGCTATCCATGCAAAAGACGTTGTTATTCACACATATTTTGACGATGGAAAGCCGTCCTGCTACTATGGCCGTGCCTATGTCTCACTTCCCGGCAAGCTGAAGATCGTCAAAGGTATCGTTCAAGAGAAAAGTCTGGAACCCTTCCCCTCTTTTCTTCTACCTCATCGCAGGCCTTGGACAGAACGGCGCAGAAAGCTCCAAAAGTTCTCAATCTTATAAGTGACTCGCTAAACTGGTCTGCTAACTTTCCCTTCTTATCAGGAGCTAGATTACAGGGAAATTTCCGAGGCTTTAAGGTGCTGTAAGGGCATTGTGACGGGGCTTGAATGGGGATCGGTCTCTAGGACAATTTGTAAGGTAAAGTAACTATGCTCAACGAATGAATGCCCGCAACGAGACACTAGTAAAACTAGAAAATGCCGCGCAAATTTTTGCGATTATTCAAACCATAGCTCCGCTGAAATACTTGGCCCTGAAATTCAATGTGTTTGAGGTTCGGTCGTTGTTGATAAGGAAGTCAAGGATTTGAAAAAGGCAGTCGCAAAATTGACTGTGAAGAAGAACTCATGGTTCATTGGAACTGTTTGCCAAGATGGAGTTAGCCAGAAATACCAGGTCCCAGCAAATGTATGGTAAGCTGCCATTACTCTGTAGCTGAGGGTTTTTTCGAAATATTCTCTTAACAGAGTTAATGTTTTGTATCTGTTAATCAACAGAGCTAATAAGAGATAGGAACTGCTTTTAAGAAAATATTCTTTCAACTCATGATCAAACCACGTCATGCATTTTTCAATGGGGCGTTTTTTAGCAGCCACAATATCTACCCAGAGATTGGCGATGACTTCATCAAGATGCTCAGCACCCCTGGCACTTACAACTTCGAGGAGGTAAACTATAAGGCTCTAAGAAATTCAAATATATCGGTATCGCTGCAATTCTGATAGATTCAATTTTCAGATTACCAAGAAGGCTAAGGTATCGAATGTCATCTCACTGCCCTCAATCAGCTCCTCTTTGAAGACCTTCGTTGTCAACGTAAGTGTTAAATTCACTATTTAGTTCGTTAGCATAATTGAAAAATTCTCATGAGGACCAATTAAAAAGAGGGAATCTTCATCATCGGGAGGCCAGAACAATGGCGAAATCCTTCACCCGATCCTTCAGTCCTTGCTCAACGATTTCAAGGGCAACCCCATTGCAGAGCCCTTTTCTTCCCAGTATTCTTAAGGCTCATCCACAAATCAGCATATCAAAAATGAAGCTATTTTTGAACAAATGAAGGATCCAAATAAACGATATCCGTTAAAGTTAGGCGTTGTCGAGCGAATATTACAGTTCAAACCCTACTTACCGTGGTGGATGGGCGGGGTTTGCGGGATGGGCGGCGTCCCAGCAACTCTAGTCAGCCATTTGAGCCTGTGACATCGAAGTCGTAGAATGTTCTCACTAGAAATCGATGTCACTTCATATGTTCCGTAAAACAACAGTTAGGATAACAACGATGACATATTCAAAATTTGTTTTAGGATAACAACCATGACATATTCAAAATTTGTTTAATTACAAATAAATTGTTGATTCACCCACAAATAATGCATTTTCTAGGGTGACTGGCAGGCACAGATCGCTTTGGTTCTTGGCAAGCAGAAGATTGCAAACGTCAAGGTCCCATCAAATGGTGATTGGGTCTATGTCTATTAAGCATCTTTGGAAGTAAATATATGTAGCATGTTATAGAAGTGTCAGCTTGCAATAAAAAGTATAAATATTTGAAAAATACAACACATTATCATTAAGATATGATCATCTAAACATGAGGGAGGCCTCACTCACGTTAGCTGCCATCAAATGTTGTCGCTTTTGCGGGTACAAAGTGCCATAGGCAGGTTTGGATCTGAAAAACCCACTTCATGATTAGTCAGATAACTTGTAAGTAATGGGGAAATTCTTACCCAGCGAGGTGAGGAATACCTGCCGCCTTGAAAACGGAAAGAAAAAGACGAAGGGACGCTCACCTCACCCGGAGGCGTGGGCGTAGCCGTCAGTGCTCTCTCAAACTAGCGTTCTATTTCTTTTCGAGCTTCTCCCTCTACCTTCAAGACGGCCTGATATCGATTCGTATTTGATCTACCCACTCGATAGCGGATTTGGCGCTTCAAGCTGCCTAGCAGAAAATTGGTGGTGAAGTCTGTACTCACTTAGGAAACCAGAACTTCCCAGTGAAAAACCTTTCCAGGGCATCTGGCAAATGAATACCTGACAATCTCGGTTCCCACGACAACATTAGGGAAAGGTACACGGAGGATAATCTCCCTAATTGCCACTAGACATAGTGAAGCGGAAAATGGTCTGCAAGTCTATGTGCTTCTCTATGTTTTCTAAATTTTTCTCTTTTAAATGACCTATTATATGCACATTAGGGTGAAGCGAGCCGCTAATGCAAGTGTGCAGGAGATGAGGTCCTGCATCGTTCCTACAGAACTATGTAGGTCTCCTGTCCACCCACAGGCAAGCGGCAATGCACTCCATCATTTCGAATCTAGGAAATGGTTGATGTTGTTCATTGAATGGATCTTCCGAGACAATTTACCAGAGTGCTATGCTTGGCATAGAACATTCCTTAAGTACAAGCACTTCTGAAGAAGTGCATGAAGGCTATCAATTGGTACTCTACTACAGTGAACGTCACAGTACCTCTCTGCCTTTTCAAACTGTATCAATTCAATCCTTCAGAGCCAACGAATTGATTGAAGCAGGCATAGGAGCAGCGACGCCGCGCGGCCGCACGCGACGTTGCCTTGTTTCCAAAACGGAATTGTGTAAAACTACCATAGACAACCCTATTCCATTGCTTTCGATTCTTCTAACCAGTGCCCGTTTACATTAANTTAATCGAATAGTATCATAAGCGGAAAAATACTTGTTGATTTTGTTTAACTCAAGATCCAGATCCATGATCAGATTTTTCGGTTTGCAGCCCTCTCCTCTTGGGAATGGGATCGCTGACTTGCTCGTTGTACAAAGGAATTCCGCAGGTATCGATGGCAAATGTAGCTTTGATTTGGAGCTTAAAAAGTAGTTAGAGGATCTGTGATACGTCTTGGAAGTCTCAGACTTTTTTTCAACCTGAAATTATAGATGGTGAAGTAGCATAATGAAGATACAGTATTGACCTTCTGGTGTATCGTCCTTAGTCATGGTTACGGTCACCAACCATTTTTACTGAATAAAATAGTGTTCGAGAATAGTTGACCGTTTATCGGGACCGACCTCGAGCACTGAGTTAGTGAAGGAACCAAAGCTCCAGCAGGGAAAAGGTAACTGACTATTGGTCGTTTAGGTAGGACCTAATCACCGAATTTTCACATCCTTTGAACCTGAAGGTCAGTCACTGCATACGACGTCAGGTTAATTTTTGCTGACTTCAAAAACATGGTACTTCGTCCAAATTCTCTAATCTGCCTCATATTGAAGGCTTAAAGGCACTGTTAACGACTAAATGGTTTCGAAGATATGCACATGGTTAGAATTCTGAGCCCCCTCTGATAACATTTGTGCAGGAATTAGGTCGGAAAACGGCTGGATAGGGCACAATAAGGCCAGGAACAGTGGGGGACGCGATGCCTCCGCCCCTCGTTAGGCTGACTACGTGTTCAAGTTGTCATTCAAAACGTTCGCACTGGAGCGAAGCTGGTGAAAAATCGATACGCAGATTGGCAAATAGCCAGGAATGATCAGCTGGTCGACCGCCTCGTACAGGCGCTAGTATTCAACTGTTATTTCTATTTTATGTTTGTATTTCTATTGTTTTTTTTGTTATGAATTTTTTACGGTAGCATTCTTTAACTATTCTCGTAAATTTATTGAAGATTTTAACATATTTTGTGTAGATTATTGCATGCAAATGTTTTTTTATTTAAGAAACTCCGTTAAATTCGATGTGTTGTCTGTATTGCAGACACTGCGTCGCCTTCGTGCATTCTCGCTCGAACACTCCCTAACCGCCGTTTTCCAATGTGAAAGATGTCCAACCCCACTTTCTAGCACTTTTTTTGTCCCTTTGTAATACTTTTTGTTGCTCGTTTTTTTTTTGCGCTTTTTCGTTGTTATCGCTTTATTCTGAAGTAGTTCTACCTATTACCGTCAAAAAAAGGGTACCCTTACTTTTTTATTAACAGTGCCTTTAACTCAAAAGCTTCCTCAATTCGAGGCGACATAACCTAGCCCTCTAATTTCAAAATAATCTGAGAAGTCCCTAACTAGTCACGATCTGAACTGCTACCGTAATCCTTCCTTGCTATGCAAGTATTTACTAAACCTCCCGACTAGTAGGATGACAGAACTTCTCCCCAAATTCCCACGGCCTGCGGCAGTGGTTTCGCGGCAACTCTCCGTATCCTCCCACTGGAAATTCGAATCTCCCCTTCCCCCTCCCCCCAACTCGCAGTCGCGTGCGGAGAGCACGACGCGCCGTTCGGGGAGAAGGTACCAGACTACGACAAGTATTATGATGCGATTGCGGGATCACAGTAAGCGTTTGGATCCGTACGATTTGCCATTCTTCTGTGACATTGCCGTGACCACTTCGAACTTCATCGGGTTCTGTTTTGTACTTGTGGCTAACAGCTTTATGCTACTTCTGCAAAAGGAAGCTTGACGATGAGACGGTAAAGAATTCACTCGGTTTCACTGGTTCACATTAAAGCATTACTTTATTGCAGGAAGGTGTGCGTATGTGTCATGTGCGAATTACAACCCAGAAAAATACAAGCAAGACTAGTGATAAGTAGTAGTTCACATCGATACAACAGGAGAAATGCAATGATCACAAAAAGTTGATAAGTCTGCAGTCCCAGAACGGATTGTCAACCATGTGTCAGATTTTTGGTAATCGATAAGTTTAGCCGGGAATGGCACTGATCACTTGAGCTTGTTATATGAGCATTGGCTTGGCACGGCTTCAAGTGGCATGCTTTCCGGTGGTATATCACGTTCAAGAGTCTGAAAAGATGACTTAGAGTTAGTTACAGATGCATGATGCACAAAATCTCTGCGGAACGCGTCCACAACCACAGGCCCCGCCCCTCTAAGACCGAGAAACGACGGAATCCATTACCTCTATGGTAACTTCGCTCATTTCCTGTACAACTTCCTTTACGGCTTCATCTGTAACCGAGTGCCCAGATGATTCTGCAGTCAAGCGCTCCGTAGGCTCTGAGAGCGATTGCTCTTCGAGCTGTGTGTGTTCCTCCTCTACTGGTTGCATTGGTGGTCCCACGTGCTCCACATGCTCCGACTTCCTCTCAATTTGTTCTTCGATTTCACTATGCATCGTGTCTGTCGGAGAGCTTTCGTTTGGTGAAGTGTTCTCTTGCTTTTCACGCTGAATAATAATGAATAACTTTGAATAATAGTTAATAGATATATAATAAAACTTGCAGATGGAAAATGGAAACTGCAAAATTTTCTGTAGGTAATTTTGGTAAGATGTAAGCAGCCTCAGATTCCCGAAGTAGAAAGAAAATGAGATTGGGAAACGGCCTTTTTCACACTATGACCAATTTATTAGTTCAGCACTTCTACGTATTTGCAGCATGGCAGGGTTACGGTAAGTATTTGAATCTGTGCCAAACTTCCTGTTTTTGAGTGTAGTACAGAAATTTGGTACGAATTCACTTCCTACTGTAACCCTGCTACTGCTTCAACCTCGGTATGGGTAAATACGTGCGTCCGCGCGGCAAATTGCGCGGCGAAGTGCGTGGCGATTCGAAGGACTCTGGCGTCTATATAGAGTAAACTAGTAGATCAGCTGACCATACTAATCTACTCTACTTCAAGTTTGGGCCCAAACAGTAGGCGCCAGGGTCGTTCGAACCGCCATGCACTTCGCCGCGCGATTTGTCGAACGCATCCTCGGACGCACGTAAGTCCCGTCCCCCTTCAACCTACATTTAGTAGTCGTAAACTGTCGTTAACTGACAAGCATCGATTGCATACTAAGAGGCCTACGGTAGGAATGTGGGTCCGCACTGAACTACTACTGTTGTCAATTCTGCTACTAACCTCATCTGCACTCAATGTTGGTGGCATACCGTCACTTAGCGGTTTCACCGTGCCAGTTGTCTCCTGTTCGTGTCGTTTATCATTACGATGTACATTTGTTACATCATACGATTGACTATTTCCCATAATGTAACCTGGAATTGATCTATGAACTTTTTTATGGTCAATTATTACGTACAGAACGCATTAATCCACTACAAAATTAAAATAATCGACGACAAACTTTCTGTTGAGAGCATATCGTGAAAGATTCGGAAAAAAATGAGAACGGGTAAAGACGGCTGATCACGACAAGGAGGAGACTTGTTTCGTCTGCAACGCACGGCAGCGTTTCTTAGCTAGTTGTCTCGTCGCACGCCATGCTTCAGCAGTTGATTTGGTTAGTTGTCTTATGTGAAATGCCACCCAGAGCTCCCAACTGTAACCTTGACAAAAGCCTCATATAGACAGCAAAAAGAAATCAAGATGCAAAAGATGGAGTGTTTTAATTGAACAGCTACTTCAGGATAAGCCACGTACTTACGCATGCCCAACGAGGACGAAGATATATGTTTAGGTGAACTCGCAAATACTCCGACTTTCATTCCATCTCAAGTTTGGTAGTCGACAAAAACGAAAATTACCACTGTTCACAAGTTCCTACCGTAAATAGCAACGGTAGGACTATTGCTGAAATAAGACGCGAAAGAAATAAGGCACACACACACGTAGATAGTACGACTAATGCGTGCTACATTACGACTGGCAGCAATATGAAGCAACAGAAAGTGTTACGGTAAAAATTTGAACCGTGCTGGCTTTTCGTTTTTTTTTTTTTTTTTGTCAAAGTGATGAGTAGACCAAGTAGGAAAGAATACTAGGTTGAATTAAAGTTTGACACGACATTTAAGGAACACCAAGTGTAATTCAAACAAATTTATCACTGTTCCACTAGTGCTAGGACGAACAGATAAGGTGCCTACACAGAAAAACAAACCATCTTTATTGACTAAGTGACAATATCGCCTTCATTCTGACCCTGACTCAACAGTTCTGATAGTACAGTATCTGGTTCCACAAGAGTGTGTCCATCTAGCCCCCATAAATTGATGAGTATGAAAGTAAGTAAATAAACAAGAAGGTCCCCAGTTAGAGTGTGGTGGGAACTTTCAAAATAGAAGTTGTTCAAGCAGAAAACATGGAGAAAGCAACTCTTCTGGCTCATGGGAACTCAACGATATAAGCACAAAGAATTTTTTCGAGGAGAGAAAGAGAAAGGACGAAATATTCGACGTTGACCAACATCTTTTTCAGATAACCCATGCAAACGGTTTTCATTCGGAATCGAGAGGGCATTTGAAGTGTTTTTTTCACTCGAAGGTTAACAAAGTTGCAAGAAAATGCCTGAATCATTGCTTACACGATTGGTTCAACAGGGCCCAAAGAGGAGTCGAGGTGGAACAGATGCCGATAAGGTGGTGGAATCTGGGATTTTCCAAAATTATGGCAACCCTAGCCGTTGGGCAACCTTTACAGGCTTGTAAAGGCCCTGTGTGGTTAAAGCCCCTGCCCTAACGAGAACCGGCACGATTCTCGGTTGAAGCATTTTCCCAAAAAGCGCCATTGACTCTAAAATGCCACATCTATGAACCTTATGTCTATAAGATAGCCAGTAGTATGGCTAACAAGACACTTTCGTGTCTGGGTCACAGAGGACCTTGAACGGCTTAAAAACAAGGAAACGGGTGCACGGCACACTCCATGTCTACGCACATAGCATAAATTAAATGAACAACAAATCATATTGTTGGAAAGACTTAGAGTCCGCTCTAGAGATGACTGGACTTTCACAGAGGACGACTTTGGAGCTCAATGACAAACGACGGACGGAGGGCGGATGTGTCAAAGCACGAATAACCGGAACAGAGGTGGCGATGGTGAAAAGAAGGAAAGCGGAACGGCAACGACGGTGTCCAACAGCGATCGCGAGCCACAAACACACCTATCACACACACGAGGGCGTCAACGACCCTTCAGACGACATCACCGCAGTGTCGCCAATAGCCCTGGCCATATAAGTCCCTTTGCAAACATCACATAATCAGTTGTGACCGCATGAATCATTGTGGCAACGAAGAGATTCGAACACTCATATAGTTACTGGAAAAAAAAGAAAATATTCAGTACGATTCGAAACTCCTACAGTAAACCCAGTAAAACGAAGAATTTCGCAATGAGATTGTAAGGCGTGGAGAAATAGCACTTTCATTGTGGAGTGCCCCAGACGACCGGAGACGACAAAAAGCATGTACTCCCATGCCTACTCGGCTTCCTCTTACAGAAGGTTGTTTTTCCCTTTGATTCCGGTCGTAAAAATTGGTTGACCATTAACCTTTTTACCCCTTATAAATCTTGTATTCCTTATTTTTTGAGAAAGATTATTTTTCTATGGTAGAGGATATCGAAAGTATATATGATCGTAAGATTCTGCAGACTCAGTGAGAGAATGGTTACACCTCAGTGAGATAGAAGAGACAGTAGGCGATCAGACGAAACTCATCCCATATACGGCGCAAGGAAAATTTAGTAGGCAGGTCTCTAGCAACCATGCATTCGGGCCAGGTTATAAACCCGGATTACGCATTACGAGGGTGCCGTATCTTTTCCCGAATACCGCGTCGCGCTTGCCGCACAGGACGGGTATCGCAGAAATGCGATGGTAGATTGGAGCGCGCAACTTGTCAGCTAGGGAGTCCTTCAATCATTTACATTTGCTGAACACTTTCTGATGCGGCTTTGATCCTCAATAATAGAGGAGTCAGTCTAAGCAATCAAGTCTAGTAAACATGAAAACAAGTAACAGAAAGAAACAATTAAAAAAGAAAGGCGTTAAATATGATGTCCTATTGACCGCAACAATTAAAAAAGATTTGCAGCATGCTGCAAAGCGTAGTGGGAAGTCATTAGAAGTTGGCCTCCTCGCATTACAGGATCTGCAAGATTTGAAAATTTGGTGTTATGGCCGTCCTTCTCTTATTATCACTGTGCCGTCGATATCAATATTATGCAAGAAAGAAGTGGTGAAGATACCTGAACAGCACAGAATAAAAGAAGGATAACGTGGAAGTATGGTACACAATGACGAACGTGGCCTCGAAAGGAATCTGTCAAAGGCGTATTCCGGGATCTAGCGAGATCCAATATCCTTCTAATGATCAAAGTCAAACTCGTCAAAAGTCCAAACAAATTCCAAAGGGAGAATCAAATGATGAGACCGGCAGATCTGAGAATTTTTGGACCAAGCCCGACTGTTTGCTGGTTCCAGGCCAAGGTTTATTTCGGATCAAACCGGATTAAGCAAACAACACAAGCCACGACAATTGTTTACAGTATGCCATAGGATGGGTGTTAATCCTTTTACCTTTACGGCCACTCACACTACCTCAATAAGTGTATCAAATGAAGCCAGTACATTGGAAAAGGCACGCTTATCTCTGAACAAAGCTACTGGTAACTTCGTTATCACAAAATCCGAAACTATTCTCATCGATTCCCACTTCTTATTTATTTTCTTTTTCGGGAACTTTTCTCAACCATAATTTCTCCGCTGTATTTCGCAATCCAACTGGGAGGAATCGAATGTATAAATTATTTTTTGCTTCTATCTATGCCACTTTTTTCCCAAGCGAGCGACTATTTTTCTATCAAACACTACAAAGGCCCATGCGACCACAGCATCAAGGAGTTTTCAATGAGTCAGGCTCTGTGAGATATAATAGCTAAATAAAACATTAATGAAATGAAGAGTAGTAGTCAGGCAGGCAAAAATTTTAAGACTTAAGTGTTCTCTTCTGAAGCCTCGGCCAAGTTATTACACTTTTTATTGGGCTAACGTTTTAGCCATCCGCATTCGTCAGAGCCCCGGATGTATAAAAACATTAAGTGAAAAAACTTTAAGTGATAACTAGACAAAAATGAAAATCTTGTTCATATTAAATCTTCAAGTGACATCGAGGGAGTAATTAATTATGAAATTATCTATGAGGGGGTAGAACACTTTTTTTAGTGTATGACTGATGATGAAAATGGAAAAGGAGGATATTGGGTTTCACTATAGTAAGCCACCCTCCTTGCTGGCATTTAGAACTTTGCTGAAATATTTCATCACATCGTATATGAATCATAAGGGCTGTGACGACCGTGCTTCAGCGAAAAAAAAAACAAAACACAGCCGACTAAAACGTTTGTGGGGGAAATGTTTAATTTCAAGTTTCATCGTCCATTATACGAAGAAATGTAAAGCTTTCACGGAGAAATAAGAAAATGTCGATTGTAGAGCGACAACAGAAAAGGTTGAGCTGGGCAAGAAATTCGCAGCTATTGAGCGTGTTCAAAGGATCACATGAGGCGTATGATCTGCTAACAACCGGGTTCTAGGAGATTGAGAGATCTAAGTAAGCAAGGATGGATAGGTTAAAAAAGAGTTCAGTCGCATACAGTGAAGGCGATAGGAATTCAGAGAGATAGAGAGAAAAAAGAAATCGATAGGTTATAGACAGAGAAATATGTAGTCAGATAAATAAATAAATGAATAAATAAAAAATAAATAAATAAATAGACAGCTAGATAGATAGATAGATAGATAGATAGATAGATAGATAGATAGATAGATAGATAGATAGA